AATCGAGGGGGATTCCAAAGTGGTGGTGGGTTGGTTGAAAAATTCTGAAGAGGCTATGTGGCGATACAAGAATGAAATGAAGAAATTTAGTTGGTTGACAAGGAATATGTTGGTCACTGTACAGTGGGTGGGGAGATCAAGAAATACCTTGTCAAATGTGTTAGCTAAGCAAGGAGTAAATAGGGAAGAATTATTTTGGACTCAGTTGTGATTCTTGTTTTTCTTTCCTAGTTTACTTGTAAGTTTCAATGAGGGGTTGCAGCTCGTGCCTCTCACTGGGATGGTGTATGAACTCACTCTAATTTGCTTCTGAATCAATAAACTTATTATTATTCATCAAAAAAAAGAGGAGAGACTCCTTGGTGACCTATCTAATTGTTTATGTTGATTACATTGTGGTTATTAGTAATGATACTTAGGAAGTGACTAGTCTCAAAAGATTTCTCAATACTAAATTTGAGATCAAAGACTTGGGTGACCTCATATATTTCTTAGGAATTGAGGTGGCTCAGTCTAAGGATGGTATTTTCATTTCTCAACGCAAGTATGTTCTTGATTTACTAGCGGAATTGATAAACTTGGTGCTAAACCGGCTTCCACTCCTATTGACTTAAATCATAAGCTCTCAGCTACTGAGGTGAATTGTTTACTAACCGGGGAGTGTTTCAAAGACTACTTGGGAAGTTGTTGTATATTTGCATGACCCGGCCAGATATTTCTTATGCGATGAGTGTCATTAACCAGTTCATGCATTCCCCCAGAGATACACATTTAGCAGTTGCAAAGGGTTTTGTGTTACTTGAAAGGTACTCTGGGGAAAGGTATCTTGTTTGCTAAGCATGGACACATGAAGGTGGAAGCATACACTGATGCTGACTACACTGAATGTATTGATGATAGGAGATCTACTTCAGGATACTGTGCTATGGTGGCAGAGAACACTAATTCCTAGAGGAGTAACAAGTAGTCTGTAGTGGCCAGATCCTCAACTAAGGCAGGGTACAGGGCAATGGAACATTAAGTTTCAGAATTATTGTGGCTTAGGTCACTTTTGGAAGAATTGGGTATTGATTGTGAGAAGCCAAGGATTCTATATTGTGATAACCAGGCAGCTATTAACATTGCTCATAATCCAGTCCAGCATGACAAAACTAAGCACATAGAGGTTGACAAACAATTTATACAGAAAAGAGTTGCTTCAGGGGAGGTCTGCTTGCCATTTGTTGCTTTCGAAGAACAGATAGTCGATGTTTTGACAAAAGGTGTTCCAAAAGGGAAGTTGATACATTATATAAGCAAACCGGGCATGATTAATATCTATACTCAGCTTGAGGGGGAGTGTAGAGAGACTAGGCTGAATGGGCCCTAGTGCTTGTTCTCTTGTTAAGTAGTGTTCTTTTTATTACTTATGTTTTAATGGGCCTTTCTTTATGGGCCTGCTAGTTTCTTTTTAGTTTTCTTTTAAGTTATTGATAAGCTGGCTGCCCACTTAAGGGCAGGTTTGTAATTAACCTTGATTAAGTCTGATTAATAAAAGATTAGTAAGAGAGAGAGAATTATCGAACTCTCTTCTTCCTCTTCTTCTTCTCAACCTTCTTGTTCCTCCTGTTTTCCCCTTTTTTCTTTTCTTTTTGTTGCTGTAATCAGAAACTAATCTCAGATTTGGAGGACTGAACCACATATAATGGAACCAAGTAATAACTAGAGCTATATCATGTATCAATCATCATCATCTAAGCCTTGTCCCAACCATATGGGATTGGCTACATAAATCCTGTTTTGTCATTCCATTCAGCTACATCACGCATCAATATTTGATTAGAAACAAAGGTGGTAACAGAGATCAAAACAGCATACCAGGTCTGGGATAGAACTGTGAAATATGAACTTGAGGAAACTTGTACTCGTTAATAAGGCCGACTGTTTGAGAAAAATCTTCATCAGTTTCACCTAAAAATGCAACAAATTAGTACTTTCTCACAAATATTCTTATTCCCTTGAACAATTTTGAGCTAAAACATGCTCCAATCTACTATTTTCCTTCTTGGAGATGTCAACACAATCAATAACTGAATAAACATTGTTAAAAGCAAGAATCAATAAAGGGCAGTATAGACTCCATTCCATGATGGCAAGCATACAAGAATTAAATAAATCATACACAACAGAAGTAGAAGATCCTCCAAGATAGCTGACCTTCAATATTGCTGACTCTTTTTGGAAAAATAACCTGATTACTTTATTAAAGCATATAAGCATCCCTGAAGAGGATTATCAAGTCGGTATGCAGACCTTGGGATCCATCTGAACTAGTCGTCCATTCTAAATGTGCCTAGTGCTCAGGATCCTTAGATAGGTCTTGCATCAATCTTATCACAACCTGGGAATCCCATCCCAACTCCCCACCCCACCCCCACAGCATGATTTTTGCTCAGATCCCAAGCAGATAAACAATTTGAGAGCCTGCTAGAGGTCCAGGATCTGCATTCTGATTGTGTACATATCGCTCTTTTGAATGTATTTGTTTGCAATAATGAACTATAAACTTTAACCAAAACATCAAAAAGAAAGGAAACATCCACAAGAATTAACTACAAACAGATCTTCTATTAGGCAGAAACTTTTTGGATATTGATATTACTAATGTGCTATAGACTAGTTTAGTGGAACATGCATTTGCATGTGTGTGTGTGTGAGAGAGAGAGAGAGAGAAAGTGGAAAACGAGGAAAAAAAAGAAATAAAATTTTGGAATGCCATTTTAATATGAGGCCAAAGAAAAGTATAAGCATTATATAGTAAAGAACAGGGTTATAAATCATATCTCAAAAACCAGAAATGTTCCCTACAAGGAACACATCAGGTGCAAGGCCATGTTTTTACACATTTTAATAGGTACTACCAAAAAACAATAAAGATAATAAAGAAGTAGACAAGGCTGCCAAAGTTTTAACTATGCTATGCACACTAACCAGGAAATCCACAAATAATATCAGTAGCAATCTGCATCCCAGGTACAAGTCGCATCAAAGTATCTACAACAATTCTGAATTCACTCACAGTATATTCCCGATTCATTGCCTGAAAAATGAGAGAAGTCATTTTTTCAGGAGCCTACATACAACAACTGCACCTCTAAAGCTAGTAGACCCTAAGTTTACATTTTTAATATGGCTGTTGACCAAGTATTTCAGAAGAAACAATATAATCACATTGACTTTGCACTTACAGTCAGAATTGAGTCACTTCCAGATTGAACAGGTACATGAAGAAAGGAATATACACACGGATGAGACAGAACGTTGGCTATCTCTTCTAAGTACTCAAGAATAAAAGGAGGATTAGTCATTCCAATGCGAAGCATTGTACTCCTGTCAGGGGGAAGTTCCGCAACAATAGCATTAAGCAAAATTGGAAGATTAACCCCAATATCACGACCTGCAGAAGATCCAGAAACCTAGGCTTATTCAAGATATAAATAAGCCATTCATTGTAATGCAAATAAACCCAAGAAAGAGAACAAATTCTTTCAGATGTAAAAGATGAGAAAATTGGTGAAAAACGTAGACATGTCACTTAACCCCCAAATAATGACCTGCAGAAGATCCAGAACCCTAGAACTTATTCAAGATATATTTGTAATGATGTAGATAAACCCAAGAAAGAGAATAAATTCTTTCCATGTACAAGATGTGAAAATTGGTGAAAAACATAGACATTCACTTTTATTAGTTATTCTGCTCTTAATGATGGTAACAGTTCAATACATGGCATGTCTACGAAAATAATAAAACTTAAACCTTTATATCTTAGGGTGGATAATGCTCTTTAAATGTCCTATTACTAGCTGGCCATTGAAATGTCTAGGTATGCCTTTAGGAGCCAGCCCTTGGGAAGGAAGTTTTTGGATCCCAATCATTGAAAGATGTGCCAAGAAATTATCAGCTTGGAGGAGGAATTGTCTCTAGGGGGTCACATCACCTTAATTAAGTTGACCTTACCAAACCTCCCAGTTTTCTTCCTTTCATTCTTTAAGATGACACATAGGGAGGTGCTGAAAGTAGAGAAGATCATGAGAGAGTTCCTGTGGGAGTCAAGAGAAGGAAGAAAATATCACTTGGTGAGGTGGGACATAGTATGCAAAAGTAAGGAGCAAGGGGGTTTGGGGATTGGTAATATAGAGAAGAAGAACACAGCTCTGTTGGGTAAATAGCTTTGGAGATGGCCTTTAGAGAGAGAGGCTTTGGCATAAGGTTATAGGAAGTATTCATGGATGTGCACCTAGAGGTTGGGATGCTGGAGTGTCTCGACGGGCTACTTTGAACTCTCTGTGGAAGGCTAGTCATAGTATCCTTCCCCAATTCCTCAGCCTAATCAAGTATGATGTGTGTACTAGAGATTGGGTTTTTTCTTGGAAGACACCTGGATCAGTAACTCCATCCTTAGTGATGGAACACCCAATCTAATAAAACACAAGATACAAATAGGCCCAGTTACTAAGGCCCATTAACTAGAGACTCTAATACCCAGCCCAGACAAGAGAATAACAACATATCASMCGAACSAACACTCCCCCTCAAGCTAAGCATGGATGTCAATCATGTTTAGCTTGCCCAGTAAGTCCAAAAATTTCCCTGTGGTTAGCCCTTTAGTTAAAACATCTGCAATTTGCATCTCTGAGGGAGTGTAAGGAATGTAGAGTTCTCTTGTGACTATTCTTTCTCTAACAAAATGGTGGTCTGTCTCAATATGTTTTGTTCTATTATGTTGCACTGGGTTATTTGCAATGTTGAGAGCAGCCTTGTTGTCGCAGTACAACTTGAGAGGACACTCAAYCTTCACTCCCARTTCACCAAGAAGAATYTTAAGCCACAACAGTTCCGCAACACCATGAGCCATAGCTCGATATTCTGCTTCTGCACTAGACCTTGCAATAACATTCTGTTTTTTACTTCTCCATGTAACTAGATTTCCCCCAACAAAAGTGCAGTAACGTGAAGTCAACTTTCTGTCACCCACAGAACCAGCCCAATCTGCATCAGTATATCCTTCAACTTCAATTCTATTGTTTTTTCTGAACAGAATCCCTTTCCCAGGGCAAGACTTCAAATATCTGAGAATTCTTTCTACAGCCTTCATGTGAGGAATTTTGGGATTGTGCATAAAC